CCTCCTATGTACTACGGGTGTGCCTCTTGAGCCTGCCGAAGGAAGCTGCAGCTGCAGCTCCTGCTCGAGCACGTGAGGAACAGGCTATTTTGGGCCTGTTCCGCATCCCTGTTTCCGTGCCTGAGTCTTAGGGGCAGGTCGAAACAATGAGGGCCTGAAAATGGCCCTCCGTTTCAGGCTGAAAACTCTGGGTCTGAAAAGACCCAGAAATAGGCTGAAACGAGGTAGGGCCTGCAGGCCCTTGTTTTTCAGCATCCAGGCTGAAATGAACGGGGCCTGTAAGCCCTAAGTTTTAGGCTTTTAGGCTGAATGTCCGGGACGGGCCCTGTAGGCCCGTGTGGCTACGCAGTATGCCACAAGGAAGCTGCTCGGTGGCAGCGAGGAAGAAGGGGTTGAGGCAGTCATAGCCAGGCTGCACTCACCATAGCTGAGTGGTGGTGGAGTAGCAGTGGTCCTTGAGGGAAGAACTGCTGCGGGATAGAGAAGAAGATGAAGCTGGTGTGACGAGGCACGTACCTGGTGTTGATCCAGGCAGGCTGTCCAACCAGAGTCTTCGAGCAGAATTGAGTTGACAACAACGTAAAACCTGTTGTAGGATATGAGCATCTGTCGGTAGTCCGGGCCAATAGCTGCCGATCGGCAACTTCCTTGTTGCGTGGTGGTTGATCGGAGGTGTTGGGAGGGATTTCATTACCAAGAAGAGACTTCAATGCTTTGCTTGTTCCTATTTGGTGTGATCTCACAGTTGGATGGAGTGATGAGAAAAATAGAGGAATTTCAAGCACACCCTCACGCTTTTTTTTTTTCTTTTTTTTTTTAAGACGGCCCTTGTGCAAGGCCTCTATCCTGGTGGTGGTAAGAGAACCACCGGGATTGAGGCTTTGCCTGGCGGGCCGCTCCATCTATTGGTGGGGAGCAACACCTGCTGGAAACCGGGTCCAGCGTCCCTTAAATACATCTTTTACAAAACAGTACATCATTGAAAGTGACGCCATTGTGCTGGAAACCGGGTCCAGTGTCCCATATCCAATCTACTCTTCCATACCTAACCTGCAGCAGGGTCAGGTATTGAGGGGAGAAACAACGGGGGGCACCAGTGGAGTCTCCCTCCATCCCTTAACCCCTGCCCTCCACCTACTATCCTCATGGCGCCTATTGTGTCTTTACTGAACATTAGACTCTTTCCTTAGAATGTACTGAGAAATTTATGCTGAGAATAGGGCTCAGCGTCCCATAAGATAAAAAACAGATAGTCAGGCCCCATCCCGGCATCCTTAACTGAATCATTTCAAACCAGATATTAATGGAAGTGGCACAAAACCGCGTCCCTGACCTAATAAGCATAGATTGTGCCTAGAATTATATCAGATTAATCGACTCATGCATCATCCCCCGGGCACATCTCCAGGGCCCATGGATGGGGAGGAAAGGGATCAGCAAACTCCTGGGCAGGTCGTAATGGAACTCCCGGGTCCACTTTTGTCCAATCATGAAAGTGTAGTGAATAATCCCTTTTTAAGTTGGCCCCCTGCTCCTCCTGCAGAGTCATGTCGCCCGACCAGCACACCTTTGCCAGCCATCCCTCCCTTTTCCCCCCAATCCAGTCCTCACAGAAACGGGAGATGATCCTATCAATATCTACCTTAGTATGCGCCAGGTTTAGATTGTCCTTTGTACTCTGCCATTGTGCAGAAATCTCGCACTGCACCAGCAGGCGCAATTGCTCCATAGATTCCCCCTCTTCCACCCTGGCCCCTTCCAATTCCAGAGGATGGAATGCCTACCCAAGGCAAACATATTCCTCAAAAATGTGTTTCCCTGAGACTGGGGGAAGTGGCCCAGTAATATGGTCCTCCAGTCCCAGGGCCAGGGGGAATCTGGAAAAATGTGCCGCCAGATTCTGTCCCACCATCGCCGTAGGAGTACGGCAGCCGGGCACTACAAGAAGATGTGTTCCATTGTCTCGGCCCTTTTTTGGGCAGGGAAATTCTAGAGGCACCATCGGCACCAGGGTAACACCTTCCCTTGTTGTTCCAATCATGTATGATCGATCAGCCAATCGTTGGTAGGGCCGAAATTTTGGCGGGCCTTTTCCGATATTCCTTAAACCACTGGATAGGCTTGAGTAGGCCTTATCAATATTGAGCTGACGATGGCACCTGTCCTCTACCACATCTCTAAGCCCGCGTCTAGGTCTAAACATGCGATACGCCGACTTAGTGTTTAAGTTTGCTAACGCTACTGATATCGTCCTCCCGTTCCTTCCCGATACTCGTGGACCCTTTCGCACCCAAGTCCACTCCTCGTGGTCAAAGGGGAGGTCTTCAATCGGGGTCATTGGCCAGTATGCTCTCCATCCATTTGCCTCTTCTAACACTCAGATGTGATAG